CCATGATCTAAGACTAAAGAAGTTATTCGGCCTTGTTTTCGCAACTTGATCATATTATCAGGAACCCACCTTATCGGAAGTCAACAATATTCATGATAATTTCAAGTCGGACCGTGGACTTGGTACATCTCCAGACGTTAATCAAAGTTTCCCTTACAATATGATGCAGTTGCGAAAACAAGGTCAAAAAACTTTTATACAACAAAAGGAGACCGCGATCAAACTAAGGGCATCAATATCTTGGTCTTCATACTTTCGATAAAACTAGAGTTAACGTAAAGGGTCGGCAGTTAGAGTGAGGTAAAAATAAACATGAATAATCAAGATAAAAAGGATGTGGACAATTAAAAAGTGGAATTAGTAAAATAAAAATGAATATTAATAATAATAACAAGATTGGACTATAATTTGACTGAAAATATAAGCTAAAATAACAATAAAAATAGGATTACTTACGCCTTCAACAGGTCTAACGCAGTCCCTATCCTCGTCCATTCTTGTGTCAACCGCGCCAAAGTGCATACCCAGGTCTCCACCACGAAGCATTAATCTCGAAGCGATAGCGTTCACAGTACTTCCACCGGCTGACGAGCCCGCAAGAACAGCCAATTCGTCGATTAATGGTACTGGCTGTCTGACCTCAAGAGAACTTGGATGCCGACGTCCGGAAGTGGAGGCAGGGTCTACAGCAGACTTGGGCGGCAAAAGAAGGCTGGAGGTAGGCACTAAATGGGCAGTAGCTAAGAAGAGAGAAGCGGCTGCCGAGGATTTCGATGAAGAGGCAGCGGTAAGCGCGGAGGCAGCAGATGAAGACGAAACCTGCCAAGAATCAGCAACCAAGTGCTCTGCTAAACCCGGAACCGTCTGTAGAAGACTGGGCTGTCTGGTAGGCTGACATATCCGGCCACCTAATTGTCCGGGCGGAGCTGGCGGGCCGAGAGAGAGCTGAGACTGTTGTGGATGCCGAATCGGTGCAGAGGCGACTGAAGGTCGGGTTAAGACAGGGCTGAAGCCATTGGCGCCTTTTGTGTATTTTGAGTTGGAAGGAAGTTTTACCTGCAGCATAATGATTAGATGAGGTTAAAGGAAATAAAACACGGTTTTGAATGAATAAATTATCAAATTATGCGAGGAATGAAATAGTATAATTAATTGATAAAAAAATATTTTTTAAACACAAGGAATACGTACGCGAGGTCCAGATTTTTTTGAAGCCTCTGAGGTTTGTTTGTAGCATGTGGGTTCGCTGAAAAGCAAAAGACAAAGTAAAATACTTTCAATTTTTAGGAAGACCTTGAAAAATTCGTTGTGAATATATCTAGCAACGGACACCATTTAGAGATTCTCATTACTGTGGCTTCAATAGTACTGAATGAAAATAAAATAAATAACGAATAGAGGCCCGATTTAGAATAAATACAGATTGACGTATTCTTCATTTAATTTGAAAAGGTGGGTTCAAAAAATTCTTAAACTAGTATCACCGGAAATCGAGGGGAGCGAGCGCCTTGGCGCTAATACTTTTTATTTGAGAGTAAGGTATTCAGCGCATTGTCATGACATTCTAATGCATCATATGTGAATTTTTCTCTATCGTGTAATGGAGCTCGTGTGAGCATTCAATTATTCTTTATTAAGACTGTCAAACATCAAGCCAAGAATTATGGTCGGCTGTGAATATACCTACCTTTTGTAGCCTGAAGTTTTCCACATAATGCCTGTGATATCAGGTAACAGTGTCCATCCATAAATCAAAGTAATAAGGTGTTTCTTGAATCATGCGATTCTCCAATGCAATCGTGTAGTAATTCCCTAAAACTGGAGACATGCACGATCCTACAGGGAAACTCAATGCTTATTAAGATAAACAACCAAGTAAGGTAAAATATGTCATAGATAAAGATGATGTGGCCTTCTGTTTGGTCGCAGTCTCTTTTAGCTTTATAGTGTTGGTTCGACTTCGTTTTCGCAACTTGGTCGGAGCATCAGAAAGAACTTGTAGAACATACCTAGTCTTGTGTACTCTGCCAAAGTATTCATGATCTCCAGCATCGGAATGTTGTTGAACAGTTGTCCCCGATCCAGGGGTCTTCTTTTTAATGACATCGCTGAATCTTCAAGTCCGCCCAGACAGTATGCGAAATTATCGCAGACACTTACCTCTTCCTGGATTCTTTCAAAGAGAATATCCACAACCTCTCTGATCTTCCGTTTTATGGTGTTCTCTCCAGGAGACTAAGAAAAGCCGTGCACTTTCACACAAGCGGTTATGAATTAAGCCTCAAAGAATTAGATACAATGTGAGTAGTGATGAGATAGAGGATAAGTGAATCATGGGTTTGGAGCCAGGATGTGAGATTCCCAGGCATTAGCATGGACATCATTTGCTCTAAATCCTCGAATATGGCGTAATCGGAGAAGGAAATTGAAGTCACTCAAGCGGCCAGATTTCAGTCAAAGTGATTTTGATTCATCGTTTATAAGAAAGGTTTCGAGACCACCCGTAAATCACTTAAATGAGACATCAGCTCTATTCATATGATTGTGGAAAAATTGAACTACCAGTCCTTCATCACATCAAATGAAATAGGGTGAATACATCTCATAAATGAATTCTTTGTTTAGCAGCAACCAATTTACATGAGGGCTAGAAGGGGAGCTGAATGAATGTCAGGAGCTCTGCAAACGGCACCTGGTACCAATGGCGAAAATTATTACCCTTTACTAAACCAACTTATCGTGACACAAACGCGTAGGTGACATTAGAGAAATCGAGAGCCCAGAATTGTGTGAATAGGTAAATGGGTGATATGAAATGGGATTGTGAGAAAGAGATGCAGCATTAGAAGGTAGAATAAAAAATATGACACGATTTAACAGAAAAGTGGTCAAGAGAATTGCTTTTATTTTTCACTATTATTGTT